TGTAGTGCATTATGTGCAACTATTTGGTTCATAGGAAATGGTTGATAACCTTACCTCTATCTTATCCTACTTCGAACTTGGCTCTGGATTTAATTATTGGATGACTATGCTCAACATGGGCCATTTGATAGCATCATACTATCGAGTCATTCTTTATTATTTATTCATGCAACAATAGTGCTTGACGTTTCTGCCACTTAGATCAGTATCGACTGCGACACCTGATCAAAGAGATATCTACATAGGATTTGCAAATATGGAAACCATTCCGTGCAGGTATAAACTACCGAGCCTACTTAGATCATTACTATGTCCTATTTTGTAATTCTACTTATTGATGTCTTTGTTATAGATTTATCAGCAACTTGGTCATTTAGTACTTCCGATAGGAAATAATTGAATTCATTTTCATCACCCATGTGCTAGTGGATGGGAGAAAGCATATATTACCCATATTCATCAATTCTATACGCTTGTCAACCCTGATGTAGTAACTTCCGAAACTATCGATATAGACAAATTGTGATAACATGTTTGATTGATGAATGCAAATAATGACAGATTTTATGGATGCTTTTATACATGCTCGTACATTTGATATTTTTATGAATATTTTTAAGGATACTTTTAGGGCTATTCAAAAATCCGTTCAAACCGATAATCTAGACCGAACCAGACCGAATCGTACGGTTTGGTTTGGTTTTATTAAGAATTGGTTCGGTTTCGGATTAAGAAATATGAAAACCGTAAAAACGGTTCGGTTAATGGATTTTATAAAAAAGCCACGGTTCGAACCGAACCAAACCGAATTTTAAAAGATATATATATATATAATATCAAGTTTTATTTTTATTAATTGGTTTTTTATAATTTTAATGATATTAGGATGATATAGATATGTAATATTAAGTAATGCCTTAATATTATTAGTTTTTATCATGAGTTAAATGTAATTAGTTTGAGTAATTATTTTGCTAATATTAACAATTTATTTTTGTAAATAGAAATTTTTGGAACCGTAAACCAAACCGAAACCGAACCATTTTTTCGGTTTGGTTCTGGTCCGGTTTTATAAGTGTAACGGTCTGGTCTGGTTCTCAAAATCACAGAACCGTTAGGATTGATTCGGTTCTTGGATTTTCTCAGAACCGAACCAATTCAGACCGTGTACACCCCTAGATACTTTTTAAGTATGCTTTTAGTGATTCGTGTTTGATTTATGGATGCTTGAAAAAAAAAAAAGTAAATCTTTTAACGTACAACGACAGGTGACTAGACAAATCTATTATATTTTGTAGCGATCCTGATTTTGACCCGGTCAACTTACAGGGGTCGAGCTACCCGGTCAGCTTGTCGAAGCAAAAATGCAAAATGCATTCGAAATTGCTTATGGGAAAGTGTATTTCACGCTCGAGCGAACCATGTTATATCAGTCCGTAATGGGAGATTTCAGATCACTTTTTCAGTTATCTCTCTTTGTCTTAAACTCTCCAAAATTTCCAGATTCAGAGCTTCTCTCTCTAGAAGTCATCTTCTCTCTTTGATTCCTCCAAATCGGTTAGGAGTTAGACCGAAGTTCTTCATCAAAGTTGTGTAACTTCTCGAGGGGTTCATTGTGTGCGGTCGAGATCGAGTTTCGACACCGTAAATTTTGGGGTTTCATCTCATTTCTTCTTCAAAACTTGAGGTAGGGATTTTCTTAGAGTTATATATATATTTTTGCAAGATCTATATGATTTTCGAAATCATCTTTCGATAGCTTTGAAAATTGATTGTTGATTCAAGAAGTTGAGCGATTTTGAAAATGGGTTTGTCTCTTGTTCTTTTAAAATGATCTTATGGGTTTTGATCTTCGTTGATTGAAGAAAAGATGATTTTGAAAAGTTTTCTTTCAAAAGATTTGAGTTGTATAGTTTTGGTGAGAAAATCTAAAATTTGGGGATTTTTTTTTTAAGAAACTGAAAATCTATGAATGATATTGTTATATTTATTTTGTGCGTCAAAATAAATGGATGTTTGGAAAATTTCTTATTTATATTTATACAAATGATGGATTTCAAGGAATATAAGAATTGTTCATTCTGGAAATTATTGTTCAAAACGTTGAAATAGTCTTGAAATAACTAATTGTTAAGAATACTTGAGAAGAGGGAATTTTGTTATTCCTTGGATGATGAATTGGAATAAAAGTATTTATATTCATCTTGTGTTATTGGCATATCAATTCATTTGATTACATTAAACTTTAAAAGTTGATTTGAAAACTTGCATTGAGAAAAAAAATGTTGAGAAACAAGTTTTCATGGAATGGTTTTGGGGTAAATACATTGGTAAATCTTGATAGGTGGTGTAGATAATATTGAATAAGTTGGCCTGAGAGTCCGGGGTGAAAGACCGAAAATCCACCCGGATAGGTGTCGAGCCTTCCGGTTAATACCGGTAAAAATGACAAATTGGTAGTACTTATATAGTCTACTTGCAGACACCGACCTAGGGATTACTAGAGTCGTATTTACTGCTCTTGAAATGAATTGTTAAGTTTTGAAAAATTGAAATTGCATGACATCATTGAGCATAATGGTTTTCAAAGATAAAGATGTGATTTTCTTTCAAAAGGGCATAGCATGACATGTGCATTTCATCTCTTGAGACTTGTATAAAATGTATATACTTTGTTAAGGATTTCCTACTGGGCTTTGTGCTCACCCTATGGGATTTTTGTGCAGGAAAAGATGTGGTGATGCCGTCTAACTAAAGGTAAGGAAACGTGTGTTGAGAGTACGAGACTCTCATTTTGTTGTGACTCTGTGTGTAAGCTAAGGGATATATTTGTGTGGATTTAAATAATCATTTTGTGTAACCAGGCCTAAGCCTTGGAAACTTGTAAACCCTTGGGGATATCTATTTGTTTATGTTATTTTGATTTGAAGTAAATGTATTGTTGCATAAAGAACTATTGTATCATGTGATGTAAGTTTGGAGATTTATATTTGGTTTTTCTTAAAAGAGCCATGATTATTGTATTATCATTTGGGCTAGAAATTTGGAGTGTTACATATTTTGGCAACATGATACTAAAGTAATCTAATTGGTATAGTAATGTATCACCAAACAAGCACTTCACAAGTGACCTCGAATTAATTTCTTGCTATCATCTAATCAAATGACAACATATTGCTAAAAATAAAATAAATAAATAATTGTCTAGTAACAAGGCAGTAGATTAATTCAAATTCATTAGCAATGTATTAACGAAACTTGGCCCAGCATGTGCGATGAAGCTTGGCTACACGTGCGGTGAATTGGCTGGCTTGGGTTTTTTGCTTTTCACACGGTTAATCCGCTTTTGCGCTCTTTTTTGATTGAATTTGCGTATTTCCTATCAAATCTGTACAAGTGCACTAAACACATCATCTCCACTAAATAAACAAAATTGAAAGACTATAAATGTAACTTAAGTGACCTCAATGTGGTACCTTTCGGCCTACATCATTAACAATAGGCCCGACACAAATTTAAAAATCATTGTTTGAAAGAAAGTGGCTTTGTAAATGTATAGTAACAAAATGCTAGAGAAATCTAGGTTTTTGGGCAACATAACACCGGAGAAATGTAAATTGTTTAGCACTGTGTAACTGAACAGGCACTTTGTTGTGAGCTCCACTGACTATCTTCCTTGCTTCTTTCTCTTTTCCCTTGTTGCGTCTTTCTCCATTCCCTTATTTTCCGTCCAAAAACTATTGGTATAAAGAGATGAAAAAGTTTTGAAGAGTCTTAGAGTTAGTTTTGGTAATATAATAAGTGTAATGGAATCACATTTTTTTTAATGCAGTAAAGAGATGGAACGTGTAAAGGAGAAAAGTAGGGCCGTAAGTAGAATTATTCAAAAAATTATATGAACTGATAAAAAAAGAAATTAAAAAAAAAAAATTTGTTGTATAAGTAGAACCTGTCCTTGTTAATTGTCATGGTTACATTAGTATAGAATTGTCATGGTTAATTGTTTTGAATAGTAACATCTTTTATATCTTAATTGTACCAATAACTTTGTGAAAAGGTCAAACCATACAATAGATTTTAGAATTCAAGGTACTCGTTTTAATTGATTAGAAATGTGAATAAAATAAAATATAAATATAATTATTTTACAATAATTTCATCTATAATGATATAGAAGGGGTCCTAATTATTGTGTACAGAACTCTCATATGTCTTTGGTGAATAACATTAAAATGTATGAACATTGTATAATATTTGAAAAAGCTCTCTGCAACAGATAAAACACGTATCTTAAATATATTTTTTTTTTTTGGGATACTTTCCTCTATTTATTGTCTGTGTTGGATTATCAATCACATGATCCTTTTCCTTGATAAAGAAGGGAAAAAAATAACATGATATTTTTAAAGATTTCGATGACTCGCCAATGGATATTTTGTTTTAGTTAAGTGATACATTAGACATATCATTCTATCTAAATAAAATAAAAATATGCACATTTCAACTCTTATGCTTCCATTTTGAGAATTAAAATTAAAAGCCAGATATTTTAAGTAAAATATAAATATTGTAATGCAAAGACCATTTCTATTACGAGGGCTAAAAAGAAAAATTCTAGCGATTTTGAAACATTACCCTTAAATTTAAGGCAAATAATGTGAAAGGTTGAGTCGCATGGTTGAGTTTTAAACTAAAAAAATAACTTACATGTATTATTACATATCACTATAAGTAAATTTAAGAATTAAGTTTTAAAGATCTCAAATACAAATTAAAGTCTCTATGTTTAAATTTGAACAAATTTTTTTCATCTAGAAACCAATTTTAACAAGTCAATGGCTAAATCTAATAGCATTAGGTGAGTTAGAGGCTCAAACCGAATTTTAACAAGTCAATGATTAGAGGCTGGAGGTTCATACACCCTCACTTTATTGTATCATAATTTAAATCTTTTTAATCCAAACATAATGCAATAATAACCAAATTGACAAATTAGGGAGTACAATGAAGTGAAGAACCCAAATTACTCTCAAAATAATGTGGGAATTATTACAAAAATATATAAAATAATAACAACCTCATGGTGTATATATCTAAAAAAAAAAAAAATACACAGAAGATTTGAACCAAAGAAAAAAAATGTTGTAACAACAATAACAGAGTATACCCCCAAACTTATATCACCCACTGTAGTACTAAATCTTTGTGCACTATGTTCTCTACAACCAAACAGACCACCTAAACAACTCTTCTACCAAAGTTTCACACTGTACTTGCAATCTTCGGAAACAATCTTTGCCGCCGGCGTTAAACTATCCACCGTCAAGTCACACTTGACCTTAACGGTGATCGTCCACGTCTTAACGGCACCGACCTTGATCTTCACGGGAGCTTTCAGGTTCAACTTAAACGGCACCGTTCCACTCTTCTGTTGAGCCACCAACGCCGAGTGAACGCTGCTCTTTAACAGAATGCTCGACCCCTTCAACGCCATCTGGAAAACTGTCAAGTTCTTTGACGGCTGGTAAAACGCCGGCAAAGCTCCGTTACAGAGATCGACGTCCGAGTAATAGACGCTGACGGAGCTTCCTGTCTCGTAGTAGATTCCGATCTTCTTGTTAGGGTTTTGAGCTCGGATAGTGACGTCAAATTCCGGCGAGATCGAGGAGACTGACGTCAGGTTGAAGCCGCTAATTGCGATGCTGTCGACGGAGTATTTGGGGGCTTGGGGGCGGAAGATGAGGTAGAGGACGCCGGCGGTGGCAGCGAGGAGGAAGATGAGGAGGAGGAGGAGGGCGAGGGACCAGCAAATGCAGCGGCAGCAGCAGCTCCGGCGGGGCTTCCGGCGAGCGAGTTTCTGCATGCGGCGGGCGTTTTCCGGCGGAGGATAGCGATAGATCTGGTCTTTGGGGACTTGGATGACGTAAGTTGCCGGCGGTGGGACTGGCTTCTCGGGGACGGGGTGGGAGGGCTTCAGTGGGAGATCATTGCGATGGGCGGAAGACGACGTCGTTGATGCTTCGCCGGAGGAAGGTGGAGAGTCTCGGGGGTGAACTCGATCGGCCATTGTTGTTGATGTATGAGATCGATTCGAAGCTATGCTCTGAAAAATAGATAGAGAGAGAAAGGCTTGAAGAGTTAGATGAAGAAATAGAAGAGATAAGTGAGATTGTTGTGTGCTTGCATATATATGAAAGTGTGTGTGTGTGTAATGAAACCGCGTGCAAGACTAACGCGACTTTTGCTCTCATTGATTCGAGCAGTTTCCTCTTTCCATTTCACATTTCTATGTGAGTTCCAAATTCACCCTTATCTATCTTGATTTTAATCAAAATTATCGATTTAGATTTATTTTATATATACACTGTATATATAAAAATTTAATCATAATTACACTATCTCATTCGAGATAGATAAAGGTGAATGCCTAAAATTATTCATTCTATTTTTGTTTTGTTTTATTTTGGATAATTTTTTCCAATTATGACTCGTTTGCAAAAGTACAAATAAAATTATTACATAAAAGTATATTATTATTTTAAAAAAATTCATAATAAATATTATTATCTTAAAAAATTATTAAGCCTCCGTTTGGGAAGTGGATTGGCTTTTTGACTTTTTGACTTTTTTAGCTATTTTAGCCTGGGCTAAAAAGTTTGGTTTGGGAAGGGCTTTTTGACTTTTTTGGCTTTTTGACTTTTTTTGTGAGAGAAGAATGTAATGATTATGGGTTGGATGTGATATTTTATTTTTTGTAGCTAAAATAGCCTATTTTGTCTTTTGTGGCTAAAATAGCCAAAAAAGCTCCGTTTAGCTCTTGCCAAACGGAGCCTAAGTGTGTCATGTGTATATGATTTGATTTCGTTTAAATTTCAAGACAAACAAAAGATGTCAAGTGTAATAAGATAATAATTCAAAATAATTAACTGTTACGTTGTGAAGTTTATGAAAATAAAATATAAATAATTCATAGTGTAGAAAGATAATTTACCTATATATCTTTTAATTTTTGTTCATATTTCCATTTTTTCTTTTTTTGGCAACTATATTTTCACGGATCTTACTAATGACAGGATTGTCATTAAGATGTATTGAATGGCAAAATATTTATAATTTTAATACACTATTTTCCACATTTCAATATATATATATATATATATATTACACAATTTTTTAACAACTCTTAGGGTTGTTTTTAACAATTTTCTATTTTTATTTTGATGATTTTATTTATTTGTTTGTGTGACAAGGATGGTTGGGTTTGTGCCGATCTTTACACCATTGAACTCGGTCTAAATTCCAACAGTCATAATGCTTTTGTTAGGGAAAATGTCACAGTTGATTCAGTATATACACTATGAATTTTTTTTCCACGTAGCTAATTAAAGATTTAAATTTCCATTCTCGTCTTTATCCCAAAAGAATAAGTTATTTACTTAAAAAAAAAAGAAGAAGGTAGTAATAATTTCTCTCTTATATTTTAATTTATTTTTTTTTTCTATTTTATACTTTGATTGTTCACTTTTGATTATTTTTTATATAATATATTGGATAAATTATACTAATAGTCCCTATAATGATATCTTCAATTATTCTTATTTAGAACAAGATTCAAAATTCATGGTCAAATATGTCACAATTGAAAAGACATGAACCAAAGTGACACGAGTCCCAAACTATAGTGACTATTAATATAATTCACTCTAACATATTTTACAAATAAAATTTATACTTTATTTGCCTTATTCTTTGCTTTATATCTCATATTCCTACATATGCTTTATATGATTTTAAAAAACAGAAGTCAAAAATGAAAACAAAAAGATTGAAACAAAAAATGAGACACACAGGCATAAGATTTGAAGCCCAAAATTTAAATAAAAACAAAGGATTTTGCATCCATCCCACAAATGGAGTGCACGTTATACAATTTGGAATAATTTGATTTCCAATTTATTTGGTGAATTGGAGACATGTGTCGACTATAAATCTTATTTTAGTGATTTAAATTGATTATTATTTATGGGAAAAAAAAATCAAACTTATTTTGATAATCATCACCATATCAATTCATTATATTTATCTTTTAAAAAAATTAACAATTTATTTTAAAAAATATATTTGTTTTCAATTTTTTCAAAAACAAATATAACAAAATAGATGATTTGTGCTCAAGAATTGACAAGATTAATGATTTAAAAAATTAAAATGAGACTGAGTCCTAAAAGTCTAATTCCACGATCTAGTCCAAGCAGTGAATTGACAAGCGTCATCCATGTAATGTAATATAGAGAGAGAAAGGCTTGAAGAGTTAGATGAAGAAATAGAAGAGATAAGTGAGATTGTTGTGTGCTTGCATATATATGAAAGTGTGTGTGTGTGTAATGAAACCGCGTGCAAGACTAACGCGACTTTTGCTCTCATTGATTCGAGCAGTTTCCTCTTTCCATTTCATATTTCTATGTGAGTTCCAAATTCACCCTTATCTATCTTGATTTTAATCAAAATTATCGATTTAGATTTATTTTATATATACACTGTATATATAAAAATTTAATCATAATTACACTATCTCATTCGAGATAGATAAAGGTGAATGCCTAAAATTATTCATTCTATTTTTGTTTTGTTTTATTTTGGATAATTTTTTCCAATTATGACTCGTTTGCAAAAGTACAAATAAAATTATTACATAAAAGTATATTATTATTTTAAAAAAATTCATAATAAATATTATTATCTTAAAAAATTATTAAGCCTCCGTTTGGGAAGTGGATTGGCTTTTTGACTTTTTGACTTTTTTAGCTATTTTAGCCTGGGCTAAAAAGTTTGGTTTGGGAAGGGCTTTTTGACTTTTTTGGCTTTTTGACTTTTTTTGTGAGAGAAGAATGTAATGATTATGGGTTGGATGTGATATTTTATTTTTTGTAGCTAAAATAGCCTATTTTGTCTTTTGTGGCTAAAATAGCCAAAAAAGCTCCGTTTAGCTCTTGCCAAACGGAGCCTAAGTGTGTCATGTGTATATGATTTGATTTCGTTTAAATTTCAAGACAAACAAAAGATGTCAAGTGTAATAAGATAATAATTCAAAATAATTAACTGTTACGTTGTGAAGTTTATGAAAATAAAATATAAATAATTCATAGTGTAGAAAGATAATTTACCTATATATCTTTTAATTTTTGTTCATATTTCCATTTTTTCTTTTTTTGGCAACTATATTTTCACGGATCTTACTAATGACAGGATTGTCATTAAGATGTATTGAATGGCAAAATATTTATAATTTTAATACACTATTTTCCACATTTCAATATATATATATATATATATATTACACAATTTTTTAACAACTCTTAGGGTTGTTTTTAACAATTTTCTATTTTTATTTTGATGATTTTATTTATTTATTTGTGTGACAAGGATGGTTGGGTTTGTGCTGATCTTTACACCATTGAACTCGGTCTAAATTCCAACAGTCATAATGCTTTTGTTAGGGAAAATGTCACAGTTGATTCAGTATATACACTATGAATTTTTTTTCGACGTAGCTAATTAAAGATTTAAATTTCCATTCTCGTCTTTATCCCAAAAGAATAAGTTATTTACTTAAAAAAAAAAAAGAAGGCAGTAATAATTTTTCTCTTATATTTTAATTTATTTTTTTTTTCTATTTTATACTTTGATTGTTCACTTTTGATTATTTTTTATATAATATATTGGATAAATTTTACTAATAGTCCCTATAATGATATCTTCAATTATCCTTATTTGGAACAAGATTCAAAATTCATGGTCAAATATGTCACAATTGAAAAGACATGAACCAAAGTGACACAAGTCCCAAACTATAGTGACTATTAATATAATTCACTCTAACATATTTTACAAATAAAATTATACTTTATTTGCCTTATTCTTTGCTTTATATCTCATATTCCTACATATACTTTATATGATATTAAAAAACAGAAGTAAAAAATGACAACAAAAAGATTGAAACAAAAAATGAGACACACAGGCATAAGATTTGAAGCCCAAAATTTAAATAAAAACAAAGGATTTTGCATCCATCCCACAAATGGAGTGCACGTTATACAATTTGGAATAATTTGATTTCCAATTTATTTGGTGAATTGGAGACATGTGTCGACTATAAATCTTATTTTAGTAATTTAAATTGATTATTATTTATGGAAAAAAAAAAAAAAGCAAACTTATTTTGATAATCATCACCATATCAATTCATTATATTTATCTTTTAAAAAATTAACAATTTATTTTAAAAAATATATTTGTTATCAATTTTTTCAAAAACAAATATAACAAAATAGATGATTTGTGCTCAAGAATTGACAAGATTAATGATTTAAAAAATTAAAATGAGACTGAGTCCTAAGGCCATGTTTGATTCACAACACTAATAGTGAAGTATTAATAATCCTATCAAATTAGTGTGGTATTAACTATCCCATCCCTACCCCATTACTAATAATCCTACAAATTTGTTGGATTAATTATCCATTGGATTAATAATCATAAACCAAAATGTCAAAACAAACATAGGATGATTGGGCCCACAGATTAATAATCCTAATCCCATACTTTAATCCTTCCAATCAAACATGCCATAAAAGTCTAATTCCACGATCTAGTCCAAGCAGTGAATTGACAAGCGTCATCCATGTAATGTAATCTATATTATCATGATTAATATCAATTGTTAGTATTATACCATTATTTTATCAAGGTTGTTATTGCACAAACTTGTAATAATCTAGCCTGAAAGTGAAAGGAATTTAGAAAAAGTGTAAAAAAAAAAAAAAAATTGTAATGTGAAATGTAAATTAAAATTTGATGTGACTGAATCCTACTTAGAATAAGTCTAATTCAAATAATAAATTTTCCATTTTTTTTAATACTTTACCGTGTAAATTTATAGAAACTAGTCATGTTTGAGAAAAATTACTTAGGCCTAGATTGTTAATAGGTTATTTTTTAAAAAAAAATTAAAAAAAATTACAAATTATCACATTACTCTCCATTTTTTTACATATTTTTTTAATAAAACATTAATAAAATAACCATTCTCAAACTACTTAGTAGCAATCTCTCCCATCTTTTGTCTTCTCATCATTTTTTTTTTCTTTATCTTATTTTGGAATTGAGATTGCACATCAACAAATCCATCAAGCTAAAATATTTAATTCTTGAGCCATATGCTTTGAAGGGTTCCTAATTAACTGTACTAATTCTTGAGCTATATGCTTTGAAGGGTTCCTAAAATCCAAAATAAAAGAAGAAAAATAAGAACTTGAAGTAGAAATGTAGGATGAATCTCAAAAAAACAGAAGATACATATAGAGAGAGAGAAGATTAAATTACCTGAAATGAGAAGAATGAGAAACAGAACAAACTTTTGTCTATGTGGTGGTGGTGTTTGTTTTTTGTTTTGGTTTCAGAGATATAGAAGGGTCTGTGAGAGAGAGAGAGAGAAAATGTTGAGCAATTCAGAGAGATAATGTAAGATATATAGTAGTTAGATGAGGGAGGAGAGTGGTTGGGGATTGAGAAGAACGAGTAAAAAATGGTGTACAGTTCATTCTTCATTGTCAAGATATGGGAACTCTCCTCTCTCTCTCTCTCTGTGCAAAAAAACAATTACACAACAACACAATTCAAAAAAAAAAAAAAGTCATGCAGAGCTTCCCAATTCTCTCTCACTTAATCACTATTTGTTGGTATTTGCTTGATCGGTGGAACAAAAAACATACAAACAAACAACCTTTTGGCGGACACGGCTTTCCTATTTTATAAAGACCAAAATACCCTTCATGTTGTGTTTAGTTAACCGAATTGAAAAGAATTTGAAAAATAAAAGAAAAAAAAATGTGTAAAATTATATGAAATATAAATTTATTTTATTCACATTTTATTTATTTTTTTTCTCTAAATTTTTTCTCAAATCTCTTAATTAAACACAACGTAAGTTAGGGGTGAGTATGGTCCGGATTGGATCGGATTGAGATAAAACCAGAACCAATCCGTTATCTACGGTTCTTGAAAAATTGGAACCAGTCCAATCCGTTTAAATCATGGATCCAATCCGAACCAATCCATTTAAACACGGATTGGATCGATTTAGGACCACGGATTCACATAATTAAATAATAAAAAAAAAGCACTATAATTTCATAAAAACATAAACATAGTGCTATAGTAGTTCCACAATAGCAACATATTTTTCTATGATAGCGACATACTATTATAGAATTTAAACAATCATAAAAAAATTGGTTTCACCATAAGTATTTAAACCATTACAAATTAAAACTAAAAACTAACAAACAAAAGTAACAAAAGAAGATATTATACAGGTTTAGGTTTGAATTTTGGTTTTATATAGAATAAGATAAGATACTATGGGGGAGGATGTATAATAAAATATGGACTATTTGTATACGGTCCGGATCGATTCCAATCCGGAACTGTGGGTTCAATCCAGAACCAATCCGTGGACTACGGATTTTTAATTCTTCAATCCGGAACCGAACCACAGATTCAAAAAATCAATCCAAACTTATCAAATTGGACTGAACTAGATCGGATTACAAATTTTACGAATTCCTTACTCAGCCCTAACGTAAGCGTTCCTACCTTGGTTGCTTCATCTTTTGCTCTCCATTTATGTAATACATACAATCATTGGCGGTTCAAAAATTTCAAGGGAAAAATTGCTTATTAGTGGACAGTTTTAAAAAATAAAAACAAAAATTTATATATTACATATGAGAATATTTTTAGGAGTAAGTTTGATACACATTATACCCAAAATAAGATTATATTGCACTAAGGCTTTGTATTGTACAATCAAAAATATTTTTTGTGTATATTGATTTTGCAGCTCAAAACAAAAAATTCTTTATATTTTTTAGTTTCGCTAACAATTGAAATATATATATATATATTAAGGGCCCTGCTGGAGACCCCCAGCATTACATATGAGAATATTTTTAGGAGTAAGTTTGATACACATTATACCCAAAATAAGATTATATTGCACTAAGGCTTTGTATTGTACAATCAAAAATATTTTTTGTGTATATTGATTGTGCAGCTCAAAACAAAAAATTCTTTATATTTTTTAGTTTCGCTAACAATTGAAATATATATATATATTAATTGTATGCTTTGGATGGAAGTCCATAAACAGCCACTCTTTTAAGAAATTATTTAGTAAGCTTAAAAAAATATGTGTTCATGTGTCCGGCCATGAAATGTTATAATTTGTCTAATATTTCCTTATTATTAAGATCATATATTTATTTAGACCTTTGTTATTGGTTGGGCACATTACCAACGGAAAAATTTTGAAAGATAGCATAATTACTCCACCTTTTTATCTTTTGAAAGATTGCTGTGTTGAGAGCAAGAGTGTGCGTAATACGGTTCAAGTGATTTAAAAGTAAAATTATAAATCAAACCATGAATAACAAATTAGCAAATAACCAAATCGTAGTTTGAGATGATTTCAATTTGCTAGTTGATTGAAGAATATTCATAAATAATTATTTAGCATTTTCATAATATATAACACAAAAATGCTTTAGAGCTCTAATATAGGAGCTCTAATAGCTCTAATGGGAATGTGGGACCCATTCTGATGTGATGTTTGTGCCTTGCCTTGTTTTTTTTTTTTTTTTTATTGCTTGAACACATCACTAGAGCTCAAATTAGAGCTCTAGATTTAGAGCTCTCTAGCATCCCTAACTTACATAATATTTTTTTATATATATAACACAAACTAATTTCACATCTTAAATCTCTCTCTCTCACTTATTTTTATGGAAAATACTTGAGACCCCAAAATGGGAACCCCCAATGATGTATGGACTAATCATGTGTTGTGTTTTTTTTTTTGGGGGGATGTGGACCAATCACGAGTGAGGGGTGGTTGTGGGGATTGTATTTTTGGGGGGTCTGTAATATTTCTGTATTTTTATTTTGATATTGGGCATTGATTTAGACCCCCTTAAAACACTCATCCCCACAACCCCCTCACACACATGAAGGTTGGGGATTGAGTGAGAAGAAAAAAAAAAAAAAAGAAAAGTTGACCAATCAAAACTAAAGGGGTCAAGGGGGTGACCCCCAAAGGGGTCTCAACATTTATTCTTATATTTTATTAAAGGTTAAAAAAAAATATGTGTTGACCATAACGAAACGAAGTGGTTTCAAATGCGGATTATAAATTTCAAAATTTAATCTACAATTAGCAGATAAATAGATAAGGCTTGGGTTATTTTGGTGGATTTGATAATATTTTGCACAACCTTAGTTGAAAGGGCAGAGCTGGAAATTAATTTCTTAAAATTGACTTGCCAAATTTTTGTTGATAAGTCATTTTGGAGATTATGATAAAAAAATATACATATATATTTTTTACTTTTTTTATGTTCAACTAAATAATAAAAAATGTGTAAAATAATTTTGGAAAAATTATAAAAAAAAAATTCAAGATTTGTGGCCCATGTAACAAAATAAACCATACATTTTTAATTTTGCCAATTTAAATTCTAGACTTTTGATTTATTTTCAATCTAAACATTTGTTTATTTTTGTTAAGTAAAGTAACGAAAAAATAGTATTTAACTCATTAAACTCAACGCAATGACTGTTTTAGGAATTTTATGTATACTTATATTGAGTTTAATGATTATAATATTATTTTTTCATCAATTTTACTTTACAAAAATAAATTGATAGTTTAGATTAAAAAAACAAATCAAAAGATTTAGATTTAGATTTGAGATTGACAAAATTAAAAATTAAAATTTTATTTTATTAGAATCAAACTATACACTAATAATTTTTAGGTCAAAATAAACAAAGCCCAAACACAAGATAAATTTGAGATTATCTCATTTTGTACATACAAATACAATCATGGGCAAACACAAGGGTAACTTCTCGGAAAATTATTCATGTGTTTAATTTCAATTTTTTGGATTTATTTTTTTGAAAATTGAGTTCTTTTTTTTAATTTTTCATGTTTTTTTTGTTTTTAGTTAATATTTGTAAAATTTTAAGATTTGTTTTTTTACTTTTTTAAATATACATTTCTTAGATGTATCTAAAAAATAATGTACTGAATTCTCGTAATTTTTTTTTATATATCTTCGGTATTTAGTGAATTTTCTAAAGATCTTTTTTTCACAAATATTATACTTTTTAAATGTATTTATGTTAGGTGTATCTAAAAATTAAAAAAATTACTTAGAATATTAAAAAAAATTAGTAAAAACAAAAAACACATAAAGCAAAAATTTTTAATTTTCTGAAAAATGAATCTTGAAAACTCAAATCAAACAAGCTAATTAGATTGGATGTGTTTGTTTGTAAATTGTAAGGTCACTCCAAGACATACCTATCTGAAGAATTATAACACATTAAAATTAAGAATAATGATATACTAATAAAATTTTGTGTAAAATTTTCGTGGAATATGATGAGGTTTCCAGTAATCTCCTCATTTTTAATAATAATAAAAAAAATTATATTTTCATAATTTAAAAAATATCATTAACACATTATTTTTTTTGTATTTTTGTATAAATTTGTGCTTGCAAATCATTTTCTTAACATTAGTGTTTCTAGTAACTCTTCAGGTAATTTTTTCACTCGTTAGTTGATAAATCAAAATTATTGTAATTAGTTTTTGTGTTTTGTGTAAATCTTTAGAGAGAAATTTTCCTCTTTTTTTTTTAATTTTTTTTTATCAACGTGAAAAAAGTACTTGTATTGGCCCTGTTTGGTAGAGCTGTGAGAAGGTGCTTATAGCTTATGCCTTAGCAGCTTATAGCTTATAACTATGAACATAAACCGATTTCTGACTTATAAATTAAGCATCTCCTGCCCCACTTAAAGAATAAGCTGATTTCTGACTTACAAAAAGCTATAAGCTGCATTGTTAAGCTAAACCAAACACATCAAAATAACTTAAATTAAGCTGAAAGCTGAAATAAGCAGCTTTTAAGCTGCACCAAACAGGCACATTATGTTTTTCTTAGGAGATTGACTAATAAGTTCCATATTTTGGACTTGTAATTTATATAATCTCATATTTTGGGTGATTCTCCTTACACCACTATTTAACCTCTTTACATCCTCCATCTTATTACACCACTAAAAAAAATATAATTCTCATTACACCCCCAATATATTATCAAAATTAACCCTAAATTAACTATTTCATCTCTTTACACCACTAATTTTGGTAATATGATGGTAAACAATTTACATTATTCCGGTTTTATGTTGCTGAAAACAATAGATCTTTCCAACATTTTGTTGCTATACATTTACAGAGACACTTTCTTTCAAACAATGATTTTTTAATTTGTGGTGGCCTGTTCGGTAATACAACGCTAATTAATTTAAATTATTCCAGTGCCATGTTACCGGACAATATTCTTTTTCCCAATATTATGTTGTCGTCCAATTAGATGATGATAAGAAATTAATTTGGGCCACTT